TACAGACACAATGTGACAAATCTAGAGGAGAAAACCTTTTATGCAGGCTATATAAAAATTAATGTCTCTACCTGATGTTAGGATATGTTTCCTCTGACAGCAGACTGCAGAACTCTCCATCCATGCGACTTGTTGCTCAGGATTTGATCCTAAAGTCATTTTGCAGAGCAAAACCTCATTTTCAACACCAGAGCAGTCCAGCAGAAACACGGACARGYATTTGGACACAATGTCAACCATCCTGGACAATTGCACCTCTTTATAGCTGACACAATCTCACTTTTATTTTTAAAATCACGGAAAAGCACGTCTGCAGCATCAAACGCTTCTTTCATAACTTGGTCATCGCTGAAAGACCTTTTTGTGTTGAGGAAGGATGGGCTACCTTAACTCTGGTGTGAAAATCGATGCTGTGCGGTTTTGGGAGGAAATCCACATTCTTAAAGGCACATAATTTGTTGTCATTTCTGTTTGTCTTTAAATTATTTCTGGATGATAAAATTGCCTTGTCAGCATGTTTTTATGGGTTTGTTTTATACATTATAAAGAAATAGTCAATCAAATACCACTGTTGTCTTATGTGAACATTTAAAACAACTACTTGTTAGGATTAATTAAACTGTTTCTGTGACTCTTATTCTATTATTTACCTCCTTGATCAGTTTGGTTCTTTTTTTTTTTGACAGCCTAGTGATTTGAGTCTAAAACCTGAGTTGTTTATGTCATATCACATTTTCTTGTTTATTGTGTTGTGTTGTGTATTTTTTTTTTTTTTTGATAGGCGAACCTAGCACTCCAACACTGGACCTGCTAGCCATGAATCCCGCATTAGATCCTGCCTTAAATCCATCTCTGACTCCATCCTTTGTGCCACCCAAAAGGAAATCAAGACCAAAGAAGAAGAGAGATCGAGAGCCTCATCTCAGCTGAAATATTTCTAAAAACTTTTATACAATAATATGCTGTAAAAAATATTTTTGTGGCTGCTGCCAAAATTAGTTTTGTAAAGCAAATTTATCAAGTTTTATCCTCTGATAATCTCTGATTTTCTAAATGTTCTGTAATAATTCTTTACTCTGAAAAGTTATAAAACTTTTCAATGCGTGTCAAGTGTTGTTCTTTCTTTTCAACCAGCTAATAAAACTGCAACACAGCGGTCCTGACAGTAATGCATTACTGCCCATACTTACCCCTGCCGTGGCTCTTTCACCGCATTGATTCCTGAGTGCAGAGGATGATGGATCCCCTCCTCTCAGTGAGTTGTTAGATGAATTAGAGATGTCCTTCCTGATTGTAGCCGAGTGCTGCTACTCAGCGATGAAAGCCTCGCCCTTTTTCTTGCACTAATGGGGTTTTAAGTACACCCCTTTTATGAATGATAATGCAGAGTAATGGTGAAAAGTCTGGGAGTCTGGCAGACTGCTTTGTGCAGCAATCTAGTGGGAAATTTAGCCCAGACCGTTGAGTTTCCTGTCAGGAGTGGACGTTTTTGTGTGTGTCAATTAAAAAAACATCAATTTTTATTTTGCCCTTTAATTGTATGCTCACCTTGGAGCCTTAATTCTGTTTCAGACACACATGTCAGGATGAGCTGTAAACAGTGTGTGTGCATACTATCAGAAATGTGTTATTGACTTCACGAGTGTCGTTGCAACTGATCTGTGAGGAAGGGAAACCGTTTGGATGTGTTTTGAGGTCCCTCAGGGACCTGCAGTGACTTGTGGGAAGATGACCTGATTTCTAATTTTTTCTCCTCCTGCCTGGGTTCTGGGCTAGTCGCTTTACTAAAAGGGAGATGCCTGAAAGGAGTGCGAGAGGATGAGCCGACCTGAAGTCTTTTTCTGGAATATGACTTGTTTATATCATAAGTGTACATTTTCTTAATGGATTCAGGTGTGACTTTAATTCCTTATCGTTAAATTCAGGTAAGTAAGATGGGACATGAGAAACATTAATTGTTGCAACGTGTTGATGTAATGTTTACAACCTAAAGTGTATTTGCAGAAAAATCTTGTCAGAACTGGGAAAAGAAACATAAAAACATGTCTTTTTATGCCTTTTTCTGTAAACTATAATAGCCAGCAATATTCTCTCCCTCATCAAAATCTACGCAACAATTAAACCTGCCAAACAAATTACATATTTGATCATAATTGTGAAGTAAAATAGCAGGTAGATAAGTAGATTAAAGATGCCCTGAAAGGATGTGCGCAGTGTGACGGCGTCATTGAATCAGATGACCAGTTATTTTAGGACCACAAATTAAGGTCAGAGTCCTGAACAGCTGACTATTTCACTCCATCTCAAGAAAGAGAACTTCACTTGTACATTTTCTATCAGTTCTTCGGAAACAAAAAACTCTGAGTCTGAGCCAACCTGCAGCAGAGGAAGATCGAATTTAAAAACATTGATTATGTACTTAGTAATCCTATTAACCATGTTTATGATACAATAAAGATGTTTATGATATTTAGGATAATCATGAAATATTGTAATGAATACCAGCTTCCACTCATTGTATACATAGATAACAGTACTGTTAATAGGACAGTTTATATTTCAAGCACATAAAATTGTGTTGTTTTGTTGGTACTAAAAATGTTCCATCTTTGTCTTGAAACAGTTTTGTTTAATCTTTTTGACAGTGGAGCAGCAATGGCTAACCTGCAACAGGAATACCCTGGAGTCCTTCTGGGTATTCTGGAGGAACTGACCCATATGCGCCAGTGGTTAACATTCCAGGACCTCTGCCGTATGGTCAGCACCCGCTTCGACCTAGACCATCTCATTGAGCTCAGGAGTTTGCTGTTTGCAGCTGCCAGCAGGGACCCCTGTTTCCCTGCCACTTTATTCAGAGACCGGGTTTCCACCAGAGGCCAGGGGCTTTCACCCATAGGGGTCGCTGCAGACATAGTAACTATCTTCAATCTTATTCAGATGACGGGTGGGGCCTCTGATGACAGCCGTGCAATGAGAACCCAAACCATTCTGCCTGTTGACCAGTCCCCAGGCCCCATTTTGCCTGGTATCCACCCACTGAACATTTCTGGTCGAGAACGAGCACGTGCCCACTCTGACTCCAGTGGGAAGTCTATCGACCAGCACTTGCTGTTTCCAACATCGAATTACTCAAGTCGTAAGCGAGCAAGTCTTCCCCCAGATCCAATCTCATTTGTGCCCTCCCCTCCCGCCAGGACAAGGGCTGTGTCTTTTGACTTGCCTCATACTACACACTCATACCCCAGCAGTCCAAACCTCGATGAGGTAATGAAAAACATCTACCTGCCTTTGGAGACAGACAGTGAGTCAAGTGGAGATTCTGCTACTATGGAGGTTTTTGAAGCTGAACCAGGATCATCGGTTGACCAGAAGAGAAACACCTTCAAGAAGGACTTCCATAACCAGCCACCTCTAATACCCCAAGTGACTGTCAGCAGTGAATCTCCCAGTCCCAAAACAGGGCATATGGACTTCGACAATCATAGCTATGATGTAATCCCTAATCCTTATCCATCGCCTACAGCAGTTCACCTCTCACCAGAACAACGGGCTAAAGCTAAGCATGAGAGTATTGATGATCTGCAAGACTCAACTTATTTTGGACCAGGGTCAGTCCCGGATCCATCTCCTCGGCATCTTCAACCACCCAGGACAAAAAGACCCCTCTGGAGTAATAAGAGTCACAGTCTAGAGGATCGGATAGGTGTGGGCAGCATTGATATGGGAATGGAATCACAAGCGAGACAACTTCCAAGACAATCTACCCCTGCTATTAGCAATTTGGGGGTGTCCTCAGGAAGTGAGAGCACCAATGTTGTACTTTCAAATGGAGGTGAAAGAATGATAGCTCAAGGAACACAAACTGACCCACCAGACCCCCGAAGGCTTCGTAGCCTGGTACATGCTGATCGTTTCTCCTTTATGACCTCATTAGATGACCCTGAGTTTTGTGAGGATGACATCAGTGCAATCTTCCATTTCTTAGATGACATAAGCATGTGTGGATCCACGGGAGTCCTGCACCCCAGTGATGGTAATACTGGTCAGGACACCACTGAGGCTCGACGTGGTCGCCTAGGTCAACTGCAAAGACTCTTTCATTCCTTGGAAAGTAGTGACGATGGGCTTAAAGCCAGTGTCTGTAAGCTGTTGCTTCGTATGAGTCAGATAGAAAGACAGCTGGACTCACTGAATGATGTGAAGGCTGAGATTTCGCAGGTACTCTCTGCTTTGCAGCGACTGGATGAAAAGATTCAGCAGCCTATTGTTGGCAGTGGACAGGGCACTGGTGGTCGATGGCTTGAGCCTCTTAGTGGTGTCTCCTCTTTCATGAGCCACCCTGTAACTCCCTCTGAGTCATCAGAACCTCAGCCTCTGTCTGCCACTGGACATCTGTTTCCTGGGACTAGCACAAGTAGTCTGGACTGGAGCCGGTGGAACACCCCGGGGGATCAGACAGAAAACAGCAAGAATCAGGCAGACTCTAAGGGGGCAAAAGAAGGGAAGAAGGATGTATCTTCTCGCCGGGCTTCCAAAACACAGCTTGAAGAAAAAAGTCTGCCTGATAGCAAACAGATAAATACCTCTAACTCTGCAAAAGACTGGACTGTGGCATTCTCAAAAAGTAAGGATGGGACAGAACCGCAAAGGAAAATTGGACAGGTAAACTTTTTCATACTACATCCTGCATGCTTTTTTATTATTTTACTATTTCTACATGTAGTCTAATTGGTTGATGAGAGGAGAGTTACACATAAACATCACTGAACTACAAATAGTTTGAAGCCAATAGTGCAAATGACATTAGGTGTATTAATGTCTATAACCACAGTTTCTGTGTCTGTCTCCGTCCCTGTATTATGCAGAAGAAACAGATTTGATTATTTGAATCTGTGCTCATTAGACTGATTAGGGTGGGTAGTGCTTAAAATCTGCAGAGAATTGTTGTTTTCGTTCTTGTTCATATTGATGTGCATGATAGTATTTAGTTTAACATTTTAACCATATGTGTTTTATCTATTTGTATTCTAGGCAAATCAGTCAGACAGCACCACAAACCTAATCTCACAGAAGCCAACCAGCATGATGGAACAAGTGTTAAACTCTTCTCTGTTTCGTCATAAAGATAGCAGTCTGACAGGGGGTCTTGGCTCTGGGAAAGTTCTTGACCCCAGACTGGCTGAGAGAAGAGGGAGACCCATATGGACTGTAGACGACAGGGAGGCACGGATCTCCCCTCTGGACCTACAGGTGAGAAATGTTGACTCTTGAAGGACTCAAATAGCGCAAAGACTCTCTCAAAGTTGTTGCCACATAGAACAAGTTTCATCTTTAAATTGTGAAGTAATTTGGGGTTGCTGATTTTAAAACATGTTTTTTAACTTTAATCTGATAGAAAGATATCCAGAGTTGTGTTTTATTTTACTTTTTTGCATTCATCATACATCATCTAAAAATAAAGCAATAAAATTTTGTTCCTCAGGGTCAGGAGTCTCTGAACCCCAACAACACAGAATTCTGGATGGACGACATTTACACTCCGGGCTACGACGCCCTTCTAAGGAGAAAGGAGGCTAATCGTCGTCGACTCAAAATCTGTAAACTGCTTGCGCTCGTTGCCGTTGTAGTGACAATTATCCTCATTATTGTCATTCCCATTTGCACTATAAAGTCATAAACACCCACAGAAAACAATTCACATAAAAATATTTCATGCCACTTTAAATGTTTATGCATTTTTTAGCAACTATCTGTTGCCTCCTGGAACTTGCAAGAGGACTAATGCACCAGAGACTGTAACACATTAAAGCTGGACTGGTGAGCGGTTTAATCAGCATGATTTGTCAAAAGTTGTCAAACCAGAAAAGCAGAATTTAAACCTTGTGTAAATCAAATGTCATACTATTTCTTCCTTATCAAAATAGAGTTAAGAATTATAAGGATTTTAAGTGTTTAATTTTTATTTTATTTTATTCGGACAGAATATGTTAAAAGTGATCCTGAGCCAGTTCAAAAGTGTCAATGTCTCTTTCTTCTCTCTGATAAACACCGTTACTGTTTGCATTGTGATTCAGCTTCAGCTCTGAGCACTGCCTGACTTGTTCTTGCTGTTCCCCTTAAGAACAACACAGGGCTAGTTTTATTTTTATGTCAGATGAAAGTTTCATTATCAGGTTAAAAATAAAAATAATTCATAATGGATTGTGTGTACAGCCGGGATGTAATTTTCTTTGACCTGGAATGTTCTTGTACCTCCTTTAAGTAAAACGCACTGTTCAAACAAGCTGGAATCAATAAATGTTATTTTTTATAGAGTCCTTTCCACATTTTTTGTGAATCAAGAAGAAAAAGAATTCACCTAATCCCCTTTCAAATGTGTTTTTGTTTGTGGAGCAGAGTGTTTACCAAGTGTCGAGTTTCACCAGTGAAATATTGTTGTTGATGGTGATGCTTTAGATGTGAAGAAAAGAGGAAGCCTCTTCCAGTAAACACTCACTGAGTGGGAGATTCCCCTTTTAATTCAATTGATGGGAAGTCTGAAATGCACCTACAGTATATATGCACATTATCTTTTGACAGTACTCAAATGCCTAAAGCTTCTCAATATTTCTCCCCCTGTTCACTCAGCTCTACTGGAGCCATCTCCATTCACCTAACGGGTGGCATTCCATGTTGTGCAAGCATCCCATTAAGTTGCAGCATTCACTTTTGAAACAGTGAAACAAAGATTTCATACTTGTATGGTAGAAGAATTTGAAAAAAGATGATATGAAATACTTCCCTTACAAACTTTACACAATTCACTTTTTTAAAAGATTCTTAATTTTGATTAATGACCTAATAATAGATAACAAGGAATAGAAATATAAACATAATATAACAGTTTGACCCACATTTTTGTAAATGCAACTTTCAGTGAAAACAAAATGCTAAAACTTGAACACACTGAAGTTCTCAGACACCATGAACTGTTTTCTCAAATCTTCATGAGTTCGTTTTGCCTTGTGTACACAGATCAGCGCAGGATGTGAAGAGAGTATGCTTTACTTCACTGTATACTCCTCAGAAGCTGCTCTTTATATCTGCCAAGCAGTACCCCTGGGGGCGTTTATGGATCCATTACCCCCCCCCCCCCCCCTCCACTGGTTCCACTGAGGAAGTTGGACCCTGGAGTCAGCACAATCTGCACGTATTTCCTTTCAAACTTCACTGCATTACAGCAGTAATTCTCAAACTTTTCATGAGTAACACCTCAGAAAATACTAAACTCTTTAAGTATCACCATTTAGACAAGCAATGAAAGCATTTAACTCTGTTATGAAATGTTTCATATGTACCTGACATAATCAAGGAAAATGATTTGATCACTAAATAAAAGCAAAAATGTTCACATTTTAACTCCTGAGACAAACAAAGGAGATTGGATTTTGGTTGACATGCACCAGCTTATTTCTCATACTTGACTTTCTACTTCAAACAGTTTTTGTTATCAAACTGGTTCGTTGGGAAGCTTTAAGATATGAAAAGTACATGAAAATCTATTTTGAGGGTATCATGTAAGATCCGATTGTTCTAGACAGTCAGTGCTGACAGCAGCACCATATATTACAGTCTTGGCTTTTCAGTGAATACAAATTTTAGGTTACTAGAAATATTCATTGCAGTTTGGTTTCAAGTAGTTTTCCTTTGAAACCAGTACTATTATGTGCTTGAACTCCTAATCTTTACAGTTATTTCTATTTTTTACAGTTAGAGTTAATTAGCTTTAATGTATAAATACTTAATTTCTGGCACTTGTATCACAGTTTGGGAACATTGAATTATCCTGAAATATTTTACACTAATGAGACACTAAAAAGGATTTTATTTAAAAGTGGAAAATGTTGTCTCATGCTCATTTTACAAAACAAATGAAACCCAGACCTCCAGGTTCTAACTTACAAATACTTTGAAAGAGACTAAATGTCTGTACAAGGTGTAGAGAGTTTTCTCTACTTCATCAACATTAAAGTATGTTGATTCATGTTTGCTGTCTGAATAATCTGGAATTACCCGTTCACAAACATTTTATTATCATACATCATATATGAAGGTCTAAAAGTTAAAAACATGAACCAATGCTAAATGAAAACAGTTTTTCCTGATGAACTGCTCTATGATTTAAATTACTTTCTTTCCTTTGTCAAGTCTGGGATAAGATTTACAGGTAGCACAAACAGTCCACTTAGTTGAAAAAAAAGTATAGTGTCTGGTGTAAAAGAGAGTGTTAAGAGTTAAATGATCCATGACTGCAATAAATGTACCTGCAGACATGAATTATTGATGAAAACTGAAAGGTTTTATTGACTGACACATCCTATTATTTCAGTTRGACTATAATGGACTGTGGATGTGTACATGTGTGCAGTACTTTGGGTGGGGTGAATGCTAAATCAAATAACATACGCATTAAAACACAAAGAATCAGCAGGTACACACAAAACAACTTCAGTCTGCTGGTGAGCTGTTAAAATTACGAGCAGAATACATGTAAGTTTTGCAGCTGATTCAGTGGACAAGTGTGATCCTCTTTTAAAAGAAAACAASAGCAAAAGTAGTTCTGCACCCAGAAATGCCAGCAGTGGCTGATGAATGATACTTTCTATGTGCATCCCATGGGCAGGAAACACAATTCCAGATTGTTTCAAATGATTTTATGCATGATTTCCTGTTTTCAAGTCTGACATTCTTACACTCTTGATTAACCTGCAATTATCCAAAAATATCTACAGCAAAACACACACACACGCGCACACACACACACACACACACACACACACACA